CACCTCCAATACAGAGAGGAGGAAAAAAAAAGTTGATGCTAAAAATGAAAAGGACAATAAAAGGGAAATATTTAGAGAACACAGCAATAACAATCAAGATTACTTTCTAATAATAACAATTATAATGTGGATAGCCAACTGAATAAGCAGCTGTTTCTAAACTAATGGTTATGGCTCCAAGTTTGCTTATACTTTTCATTCTAATAAATCTGTATATACACACAAGCTATTTTTACATGTAAGTATGTATATTTACATTTACTATGGAATTTCAGAATATTAAGATCAAGGCAGAGTAGAGATTTTTCAATCTACTTGTGAAACATATCTGTAACTAGGATCTCATTTCCTTCTTAAGTGGTCCAATTTTCTAGGCAAAGTAAGAGTGTCCATATGACATCAACTCACAACATTTTAGCTTACAACATCAATAATTAATTATCTTTCTTATTAATGGCTTTATTTACAAATAACATACTAAGTGGTGAAAATTCTGAAATATATTAACCCAGCAGGCAAATTTACTCTTCAAATATAGTCAATTCAAGAATGAAATTCAAATCACACAGCATTAAGTACTTTCTAGTACAAGGAAATAAGTTATAATAAATTCAACAGGATATATAATTCTGTTGCTATTAATTAGTTTTTTAAAAACAATATTCTTCAAAAAAATCATATTTCCAATTTTCAAGTCCTAACACTTCTAAGAAAAAGGCATGGCTTTTTCATCTTATTCAGACTTCTTCATCTAGGATATTATGTTCCCCTAAACCAAATGATAGCACACAATGTTAACTTCCCTCAAGAAAATGGCATGGAGTAAAGAACTAAGACTTCAGCAATAAAGAAGAGGTGTACTTTTGGCTAGAATGACTGAGATATGATTATATACAATGATATGCAAATTATCTAGCACAATTYCAATAACAAAATGGAAACTCGAAAATAATAACATTTTCTTCACCCCAATTTTTGTATGTTTTTGTTGTTATGGATGATTTAGAAACTCCTGTGAGGTTAATTTAAATGAYTGAGAGGTCTAAAATGAAAGATGGCTGTTCTTTGGTTACCAGACATTAATTTAGTTGTCAAGTATTCTCTTTTACAGTGTAAACAGCACTCAATTAGGTTCTTTCAACATAGAAAACACAGATTATACACTTGAGATTTAATAATTGCCATGGCACAGAATTCAAAGCTCTTTAAAAGAAGTTTATTATATGGATCACTTTGTGTAAAGTTATAAACTTAAATTTTAGCCTTAAAAACCTACAGTGATCCAATTATTAGAGATATTCAACACAGATTTCTATTATACATGCTTTGACTGGGTCACCATACATCTTAAAAACTGTTTGGAAGTATACTTCTAAAAAGAGCAATAATATATAATTTTGGAAATAAAACACCAAATTTATGAAAATAAAAAAACTAGTTATGAATATTCTATGAATCATAAAACTATAGTTTATTTAATTCATTACTTAGCTCAAAAATTTGAATAAAAAATTTTTTAAAGATATGAAAGTCACCTTAGCACAATATCATATTTTGTTATAAACTTGCACATATAGTAAGATATACCCAAATGAAGACAGTCTGGGATAGGAATAATTTGATTTCTTAAAATTTCTTAAAATGAACTAACAGTTACTGTTGACTTCTGTGAAAGAATTCCTATTACAAATAAATTAAGTAAACCCAAGGATAAAAACTTGAAAGACAACACATTAAAAGTAATACTTAATTGTRTGGCATGTGAATTGTATCTTAATAAAGCTGTTTTGTTTTGTTAACAAAAACCTGCCACACCTCATTTYAAAACCACAAATTCTGGTACATAACTGTTTCAATTCTCCTAAATATTACCTCAATTTTAGTTCTTCTTAATCTATATCACAATAGGATTCTCAAAAAAATAATAACAATAATGTCTTTTTCTCTTGGTCAGCTCCTTATATTGTCTACCCCCCAAAAAAAAACCCAAAATACATCAATTCATTTGGATATGCTTTTTATTTAAGAAAAATAGCCCCAGTTTTAACTACCAAGAATCTACAATAGTGTCCAAAAAAAAGTTTTAGTTCTAAAGTTTTTATTCACTAATATACTGAACCTTAAACTTTCTACTACCTTTACATGAGATAAAGGGGAGGCAAACAAATTTTGGACTGATGGCTACATCTTCCCTATTCTGAAACAGCTCCACTGAAAGGAAAGAAATTTCCCCTGGGATTCATAGGATCAAAAAGATGTTATTGTTGAGAGCATGTAAAGGTGTAAATAGTATAGAAGCAAAAAAAAAGTTGAGAGACACTCCATTACTCAGTATTCTGGATTGTGGATTAGCAGCATATTTATTCATGCACTCAGTAATATGTGCAGAGGGAAAAAAATCTACATTGGTGAATCTGAGAAACATGTTTGTAATAATTAAATAACAAAGAATGTCCATGAACACCCATATGCCCAGCCTCCATATTTTAAAATTTAAATTGATTTAAAACTCGTGAAACACAAACCTTTATGGCAGAACTAGAAGTCTGTTCCCACCAGGCCCTCATACCTGATAGCAGCCAATCCGGCTCCTTCAAAATTCTGAAGAATTAACTATATAAGAGTCATCATTTTTATGCATTTCATATTTAAACAGCAAAAGCTACATTGTTTTTAAATTCACAGAAATTTAAATTAATGTGCATTTCCCTAGACATCTAGTCTTTTGGCCAGGAAAACATTGAATAACTTGGTAATATACTCCAAATCTCTCTTTTTATATCACCAAGGGCATTAATATGTCAAATAAAAATGTGACTCTAATGATTTATATAACAGGTTTCCCTATAATAATTATTTTGTAATTTAAACCCTTTTAATCTCTAACAGTACAAAATACAGAAATCATTCTACCAATATGACATTAGAATACCAGAATAAACTATATTGGTTACTAAAATTAAATTATATTTAATAAAAGATTACAGATGATAGTTTTATAGATCACCAAAGCTTTGTATGAATAAAATAAAACTACCAAGGTGACCTCTATACTCTCTTTACCATCTTTATTATGTCAATAATTTCAAGATGATAAGAATTTATTACTTTGGAATACTTCCTTTGGTCAAATCTCTTATTTTCATGATTTTTCAACTCAAAATTTCAATCTAACTTTATCTGAAGATAACTTTCTCAACTATATTGGGGGTGAGGGTAACATTTCATTGGTGACTTAAAATTAAGAACTTGTAATATTTACATATAGGAATGTTTGAAATTTAGTTTGGTATTATTTAAAAAGAAGAGTTGTTCTTTTCCCAAACCTAGCTAACATTTTTTTCAGTTTTTAAAAGGAACTGGATCTACTATAAACAGATGTTAAAAAGCACAGAAGAAACAGACTTTTAGTTCTATACAGATTCAACATGTCTTTAAAAAACAATCTCAAAAAATACAAAAGAAATCAGTTAGTCAATTTCTACATGTGGATTTAAAGTGAAATACTTTATAGAAATATTTTATTTCAGATTTTATAATTTGATGTAATTTTTAAAACTAGATTTAAACTCATCAAAAATATTTAGAGCCATTTTATAACCCAGTGGATATAATGTGAACCAGGTCATTTTCTCAATTTGATTGCTAAAAAGTTGACAAATTCACAATTAAATCCACAGAAACTGTTAGAAAATGTCTGGCAACACATGAACAGTGAGCAGGGCTGATAAGTTTCTTTATCATATTTAAAGTTTTCCTGCCCTCAATCAGGAAGGTGTCATACTGCACTATACAGTTTGGGAAACATTTAAACTACTACCTTCCACTTCACTGTTCTATTTTTGAAACAAAAAGAATTAACTGAAAACAATGGTCCAATGGACTTAAGATAAGAGGTATCCTATTAGGTAAGAAACCTCTAATTAGAAGGACAGATAAAACTTCCGATTATATAATTTTTTTTCAGAACTTCAGATTATATAATTTTTTTTTCATTTTTCATATATACTTAGCAATGTATAAAATCCCAACTTAAAATTAGTTGGGCAAGCTAATATTATGGAAAGCATTCATACTAATTTATCATTAATTAAGACTTTTTTTCTAGTAGCTTATCTGTCAATCTTTTATTGCAATTCAAAATAAAATTTGGAACCAATCTTACATAGTTATAAAGTGTATGATTTGAGAGCTGAGTAAAAATAAAACTTGAACAATTTCAAACATTACTTTCTATAAGCTTTCATTGATATAAGAAATGTCTTTACATAAATATTATATTTATATTCAAATCTTTGATAATTTTAGATGAATTTAAAATAGAAAAACCACATATATTTTTTAATGTAGAGAAAGATTAAAGTAACATGAACAAAAAAGGGACTTGAGAGACTTGAGTCCGTTTTCAGAATCTATAAAATATTTTTCTCTTTAAGCAGGTGTTTAAAAATAATTGTTAAAAAGACAGCTGAGTGAGGTGGCCCAAACCTATTTTCTCAGTGACTTGGGAAACTGAGTTATGAGGACCACAAGTTTAAGATCAGACTCAGTAACTTAGCAAGATCCTTGACAATTTAGTGAGACACCGTCTCAAAATAAAAAGTAAAAAGGGCTGGGAACACCAGCACAGTGGCAGAGCAACTCTGGGTTCAATCCCCAGTATCACACACACAAAAAAAGGTTAAATAGAAATTCAAATATAATTTTCTATCCATAGCTTAGTATTTAATCTATTTATGTGAAGCCAACAAAAATTTTAAACTAGTTCCCATATTTGAAAATAAGCTCCATTTTAGAAGATGATACTTATTATTTTCTGAAATAATAATTACATTAAGAAAATTATATTGAAAAAATTTAAGTTTAAAGGTATACATTTTAAAACCTCCTAAAACAAACCCTCAAATCACACTCTTTTTGATATGAACTTTGCCAGCACTGTTCATGTTGGCCAGATAATATCCTAGGTTTCTTTTAAGAAAGTAAAATGAAATGCATACCAGCAGCAACTACAGCTGGAGGAGGCGAGCCAGCCTCACCACCGCTTGTCTGACTCATTGATGCTACAGATGTTTCACTAGATGGAGGTAACTGTAACTCCTTTGGGAGAAGATCATAGACAGATTCTGTGGAGAGAAATGAAAGGAGAAAAACAGTTTTAAAGAGTCATTTAACAACCTAATTACATGCGCATGAAATGAATATCATTTCTCTCACAAGAATGTTATTCACAAAAAAACAATACCATATCATGAATACTATTAAAGAATTATTAGCATTTTTTTTTCTTTTAGTATAATTTTCCTTTCATTCTGCTTCCTGACTTTTTGGCTTTATTCCTTGGGTTCAAGAGAATCTCTAGAAAGTTATTAAATTTTTAAAGTAATTAAAACTAGACAGAGAAAATATGTTAAACAACCTAAGATTGTCCAATTATTCCTTTGTAATAGTACAAGTGTAACTTGCTATTCTTTACATAAAAGATGGAATATAGCATATATCAGTTTTAAATTGGCTTTTCTAATTAGTCCATTAGTCTGGATCTTTTTTTTTTTTTTTAAAGAGAGAGTGAGAGAGGAGAGAGAGAGAGAGAGAGAGAGAGAGAGAATTTTTAATATTTATTTATTTATTTCTTAGTTCTCGGCGGACACAACATCTTTGTTGGCATGTGGTGCTGAGGATTGAACCCCGGCCGCACGCATTCCCGAGCACGCTACCGCTTGAGCCACATCCCCAGCCCCTAGTCTGGATCTTTTACTCAATACCCATTAGCAAACAGTATTTTAATCCACCACCATCATAATTCGTTTTTCATGTCTGAAAAAAAAGAAAGGAATGTCATGCCCAAGGAAATACTTCCTATTTTCTGAGGCATCTCTGACTCTGGAAAGGCACAGGTATGCAATACTTTTAAATCAGGGAGCTTATAAATACCTATTTAAGATTATGATTATTTTTGTATCCCTGATTAAAGAGTACTCTATCTATAGAACGTATTTGATAATAATTTAATTGTCCATAAAATTAAATTTGTATCTGTTACTTTAAAATTGTTTTCTTGGGGCTGGGGATGTGGCTCAAGTGGTAGCATGCTCGCCTGGCATGCACGGGGCGCTGGGTTCAATCCTTGGCACCACATAAAAAAAAAATAAAAAATAAAGATGTTGTGTCCACCGAAACCTGAAAAATAAATATTAAAAAATTCTCTCTCTCTTAAAAAATTTGTTTTCTGATTATCATTATATATTTTTCAGCTTGTTATATGTTGTTATGTGGAAATAATTTTTAAGATATTGTCTAAAGGTACTAAAATCAAAGTTGGAAGGAACTTTTGAAAGAGCAGTTAGAAGCATATGCCTACTTTCAAAAGAACTAAGGCACAAAGGCCCAATATTCCAAGAAACCCAACACTCCAATAATTAAAGATTATTATCTGCATGAGTGACAAAAAAAAGTTAGCACAACTAGACAGCTTGATAACACTTTTAGTTAACTGATTACTAAATTCATAAATACTTTGGTCATCACAGATAAACACTAAAGGATGTACCCTAACTTTGATATGGATAGGGATAAGGAAAAAAGTCAAGAAGGGAAGCTAAAATCAGAAGTTGCATAGTTAAATGATTTTCATTTACAGTAGAGAATAAACTTAAAAAACCCTATTACCTAACACTTGAAATGTTCATCTTCACAGCATCTGGATATTCAGCATCTGTCTAACTGAATATAACATGCCTGGTTGCAACTTTTCAGCTTATTATATGTTGCTAAACACCTTAAGGAAATTACTTCTAGCTTTCAAATAATACAGGAGAAGGGGAGACAGAATCTAATTAAATGACATTATCAACAAATATTCATTTTAATATAGTTGTCTTTCTCACTCCTTGAAAACAAAAAGTTCTTTAGATATGCCAGGCATGGTATAGTATAGATACAATCCCAAATACTAGGGAGGTTGAGGCAGGAGGATTACAAATTTAAAGCCAGCCTGGGCTATTTAGAGAGACTCTGTCTCAAAGTAAAAAAAGGCAGTAGATATAACTCAGTGCTATCACACCTGGCTATGGAATTTCCTCAGAGTACCCTGGGTTTATCCCCATGTCTCTGGGGACTGAACCCAGGGACACTTAATCACTTAACCACATCCGCAGCCCTTTTTATTTTTATCTTGAGACAAGGTCTTGTTAAATTGCTGAGGTTAGCCTTGAATTTGTAATCCTCCTGCCTCAGCCTTCAAAGTAGCTGGGATAACAAGCATGTGCCATCACACCTGGCTATGGAAATTTCTTTTAAATCTGCTTCCATCGATACCAAAATATTAAAGAAATATAAATTATGCTGTAAACACTATTGTCTTGTGGTCCTAAATTCAAATAATCTCTACTAGTTAATGAAAAGAACTACCGAACAAAAGAACACAGGTTCTTTAATTCTATGAAAATGACAGTCTTAAATAAGCACTAGTCATTTCATGTTACATCACAATATCTATTTTTGCTATGTTATCTTTTAAATTAGTTTAGAAAGATAAAGGAACAATGAAGGTTTATAAAAAACAAAATATTTAGAAACAGAATGGGAAATCCATAATGGAAAGACAGCTTCTGAGAAAAGATTTCTTTTACAAAAGTCAGTAGTAAAATCAGTGGGGGGACATGGAGGGCGAAAAAATAAGATTTCTTTCTGGAGTGATAAAAATGTTCCAAATTAGATTACTCTGCAAATATACTAAGTGTATTCCTTTAAATGGGTAAATTTAAAAAAAATTTTTTTTAGTTATAGATGGACACAATAACTTTATTTTATTTATTAGTTTTTATGTGGTGCTGATGATCAAACCCAGTGCCTCATAGGTGCTAGGCAAGCCCTCTACCACTGAGCCATAACCCCAGCCCTATATGGGTAAACTTTTATATGTAAAGCATGAATCAATAAAGCTGGCTGTTTTAAGAAAAAGGGAGAGAAAGCACAAATGAGAATTACCTAAGAGCAAGCAGTTTCTGATAAACTTCATGAACATTTGTAAAAAGCAAAATTGTGAAGAAGGCCAGATTACAAACCAATATGTCCTTTAAGGCTATTCTACTGAGAGCAAAGAAAATGCTGTAGGCAGAGTTATACTAAATTCACTAAATTAAGTGATGAAAATCTCAAAAAGTTTTTAAACAAGATGAAGAAGTGTCAACTTAATAAAATARATGAGTTTTAACAAATAGCACTCAAAAAATAAAAGTTCAACCTGAGGGAGGTTGGTTATGATACTAACAACTTGAACAAAGATTTCAAACCTGGAAATGACACAGGTTTAAGAAGGATATATTGTATATTTCATAATTCATCACAAATAATGATTAACTAAAATACATACCCCTAAAGGAATAAGGTAAAATTTAATGAAGATTATATAGCTGATCAATGAGACTGAGGTTGTGGCTCGGTGGTAGAGTACTCGCCTAGCACGTGCAAGGCCCATGAAAATAAATAAATAAAATAAAGGTATATTTTAAAAATTATATATATAAAAAATGGCTGATCAAAAAGTTCACAGCAGCTGGGCACAGTGGTGCATGTCTGTAATCCCAGTAACTCAGGAAGCTGAGACAGAAGAAACAAATATTCAAGTCCAGCCTGGGCAATTTATCAAGACCCTATCTCAAAATTAAAAATAAAAAGGACTGAGGTTGTAGCTCAGTGATAGAGCACTTATTTAGCACTGGATTTGATTCTCAGCACTGCATATAAATAAATAAAATAAAGGTCCATCAATAACTAAAAAAAAAATTAAAAAAAAAAAAGACTGGGGATATAGCTCAATGGTGAAGCACCCCGAGGTTAAATCCCTAGTACCAAAAAAAATAAAAAAAGTTGCACAGCACTTATATGTGTTCATTTTCCCCTGCAGTTTGTTAAATCTAGAAGTTCTTTTAATTTTGTTTTCTAYGGGAAGTCTTTCTTTAGCCTAACAATTGAGCTGGTTGTTTTCTTACATGTTTTTTTCTATTAATGTTGGTAATAATTTGTGTAATAATGTTTAAACAACTCATCTATGGTTCACTATGAATTTAAGTTGACCAAAATTCCAATGTAAGTACATTACTTAAGTATTAACATGGCAGAAATACATTTAATGCAATATAGTAACTCCATTAACATAAATTATTAATATAGAGTTTGAGAAAAGAAATTAAGCAGAAAGGGGTACAGATTCAGAATATCAAGAATTTRACTTAGGGCTGGGGTCAAGGTTCAGTGCCTAGCATGTGTGAGGCACTGGGTTCGATTCTCAGCACCACATTTAAATAAATGAATAAAATAAAGGTCCATCAACAACTTAAAAAAAAAAGAATTTGTCTTATATCGGTGCAACAGCGCTGAGCATAGGGCAACTGGAAGGAGGAATGAAGGAAATGAAACCACCATTCTCAAATATTAAGAACAAATTAATTCTTCCCAAGTGGAAAGGGTGGAAAGGCAACAATATAAAAATGGGTTGACATGGCTGGCTTGTTTGTTTGGTCATTCTGTAAACTCTAATTGATTCATTTATGTCACCAATTATTTCTGGATCAATTCAGTCTTTATTCTTCAACATCAGCAATGAGGGAGTGGAYGAATTTCACTATAATACATCATGTTCAAAGTACAGAAATTCTATCCTGAGGGCACAGGATAGTAAGAGAGAAAGAAAAAATTGATAACTTAATAGTTAAGCTTTTTTTTCAGTTGGGCATACTGTGACCACCTACATGCCATTCTCTGCTGCTTTATTCTGTTATATCTTGTTCCAGGAAGATGTGAACCCCTGAAACACCCACACTTCCTCTCACTTTTTACTAAAATATATACTTTTTAAAAAATACAATAGAAGTAGAACTATTTATGGACAGGGCACAGCTTCAGAGAGCTGCTACAAAGCTTAAATAGGATAATTTTTGTTAAATTGTATACCACTAATGCTGCTGGTTCACATCTATACAGTGATTTTTTTTAAGTCATAGTTGGACACAATACCTTTATTTTATTTATTCATTTTTATGTGGGGCTGAGGATTGAACCCAGGGCCTCGCTGTGCTAGGTGAGCCCTCTACCACTGAGCCACAACCTCAGCCCTATACAGAGG